CAACATACGTAACCTAAACATCTGTTCCCCCATAATATGCTGAAATTAAAAAAAAAGAGTAGTTTGGATAAAATAGTTAAAAGTCTTAAAAGTAGCTTATTGTGTTCACTTTCAGATTTGTAACTTACCATCCAAAATGAAGACTCCAAGGTTTGTTTATTTTTTGTACCTTCATATTATTCTTACATTTTATGGTCTTGTTTTGCAGATAATAATAAAGTCATGGGGATAAACAAGCAGGAGATTGTTTAGCCACCAGAAACAAGAAACCTCTCTGGGAAGTTTCTTTCTTTTTCTTTTTTTTTTGACCAGAGGAGGTGGACACCAAAACCAAATGAATATCTTTCCCCAGTCCCCCGACATCTTAGCACCATATCCATCAGATAAGCCTTTCATCCCTGCACTGTCTATATTTCAAAAATGACAACCCAATGTTTATGAACATAAAAAAAATTGTTAATGATTATTCTATTTATAAGACCCCTCAGCATTCACCTGGCTTGCCCCCAACCAGCGCATGTTGCTGGCATAGGACAGGGAGTGGATGTGTGAAGTCACCAAACAAGACTCAGCATACAAAATTTAAGCCACACCTTCCTCATTTGCTCCGTGGAGAATTTCATATACGCCGTGTTGCCTTATAACGAGGTTATTGGAACAGTCACAATTGTGTTCCCAATTCACTCCCTAGGGTCTGCTTTCCCTGAAATAGTACTGCACTTGGGCCAAGATTCTTGATGACTCATTCAACCGAAAGGAGAAATGGGGATTTTTGAGAGAGAACACTCTTTCGGGCACTCGAATATGTATGAAAATAAACAGGAAAATAAAAATCGAATTCCCAGCACTAGGAAGCAAAATGTTACTTTTACTTGGTACGGATGGTACATATTGTATTTGAAAGCGTTTTCTAATTATTGGATTTCCCTCCAAAATTTCCATGAAATATAATTCGCATTTTACATGTCAAGGAATGAAGACTCTGGGGTCTGAGGGAACTTGGCTGGGGTGAGAGAATGAGCCCGCGGGAAGAGCTCTGAGCCCCAGCGCGGTCCTCACGGGTCTGCGACGTTTGTGCCATGGTCAGTTCTGTCCATTCTTTCATCCCCGCTTGGTGTTATCACTAAGGCTGGTTTGGCCTTTCTCATAAGGCGTATTTCAGACGCCCGTTTATTGTCTGGGCCGCGTTCAAGTGATAAGACATACATTTATGCTATTGTGGGAACGTAATGTAATATTCTCAACAGCGTTGCCAAGATAAAAAAGTGTAGCCTCGGCATGCCTTCCCTATAACTTATAAAGAGTATTCAGTTTGAATGCCTCCCCATGTGGCTGTTTTCAAGAAAAAGATCCCTGATTGCACATGGGCCCTTCTCATGCCCATCACTCATTGTTTCCCTGACTGCTGGGCAGAAAAATACGGCTCTCACGTGTGGCCACTCGGGAGCCCTCAGGCCTTCGGGCTTCGTGGTGAAATAGATTACGAGGGCTGTCCACCGCATAGAGGAGGAACGCGAGACGGGAGGCCATCTGCTGCCGAGGGAGAGCGGCAGAGGAGAGGGAGACAGGGAGGCAGGTCTGCCTGTGCTGATTTATTCAGCCGCACCTGCAGCTCTGTCTAAAACCGGTTACAGCTTGTAATTTTCATGAAATAATCAAGTTCCAAACTGACAGGACTTCAGAGCTCACCAGTCCAGCTTCTCCAACTGAACTATGAAGAATTGAGTTTTAGCAAGTGTGTTTATTAACTTTGTACTCCATATAAAATACCTATCCCAGGTAGATAGAATAACACAGCCTAGTATTGTTGTTAGTGTCACAGTTAAAACTGATTTGTACATTTATTTATACTCTGCCTCGTATCAAGAGGATGTGAAGTAGCTGAGATTAGACTTCAGGTCTCCTGTGCCGTAGACTGGCAGGTTTCCCACCCTGCCCAGCAGAATGTTCTGCATGATGGGAACGACCTCTGCGTCCCATGTCTCACAGGACATGTAGCTACTGAACACTTGAATTGCAGCCAGTGTGACTGAGGCACTGAATTTTTAATTCTATTTACTTTTAATTTAAGAAGCCATGTGTGCTGTATGGACAGGTGGGCATATGAACAGCACAGCTCATGACCATTTAAGAGTTTTTAAATATGGTTTCGTGTATGTATAAAAAGCATATTACTTTACCATGCAGCTGGCTGTTATGCATGCCAAACTGCTTTCCCCTCTCTCCCCAGATTCCATCACTCAGCACAAGGTCTGCTCCCCTGAAGACTACCTATTGCTGCAATGATGGAGACATCATCGGCCCGTGGCAACTGCAGGCAGCTCGCCAAGCTGTCTTTGGACGTTCAAATGAAAAACAGCACCGTGAAGGGAAAGAGCTGACTTATTAAAGATGACTTTAGATATCATCACCTTTGCCTTGTGAGTGTTGTGGTTTTTTCTTAAGAATTCCTTTGTGTGACTTTCTATTGACTGAATTTGTGTTTCAGAGAATCGTTAGCTGGACCTTTCTGGGACTTTTCTATATAATGCCAGTCTTTGTATCTTAGTTTTTGTTGTTTTGTTTTGTTTTGTTTTGTTTTTTGAGGCAGGGTTTCACTCTGTCACCCTGGCTTAGAGTTTAGTGGCGTCATCATAGCTCACTACAACCTCAAACTCCTGGACTCAAGTGATCCTCCTGCCTCAACCTCCTGAGTAGCTGGGACTATAGACACATGCCACCACGCCCAGCTAATTTTTGTATTTTTTGTAGAGATGGGGTCTCACTCTTGCTCAGGCTAGTCTAGAACTCCTAGCCTCAAGCAATCCTCCCACCTCGGCCTCCCAAAATGCTGGGATTACAGGTGCAAGCCACCGTGCCCAGCCTGTATGTTAGTAATGATCATAATTAAAAGGTCACCAACCTTTGTCATTAAAGCACTGTACTGTCAAATAAAGAGTGGAAATTTATTTAAATTGTTTTATTACTGAGAACAATCAAAGAACCCCCTAAGTTTCTTGGCTTAGGCTCTAAGATCTGTATGAACATATCATATACTAGATAAGAAGGACATTCATCGGTTATTAAAGTTACTTTTATATATCTGAGATTCCTCTCAAAGTAATCAGGGAAGACAGGTGTCAGGTGTGTTACACAGTAATAATCTGAGCAGCCCAACTTCTGCAAGCTGAGTTTATGGTGAGCAGAGCATCAGCGACAAGAGACTGCCTCCACTGGCCACTTAGTGTCCCCTAGAGGAACTTGGCAGGTGGGCCTGATGCCTAGAAACGCTGATTGGCGGATCACCTTCTCAAAAAGAGAAACGCTAATTCCCAATGAGCCTGAAGATGCCAGTAAGACCTCCTCGTGGTCCTGGTCCCTCTCCGTGTTTGTCTGTTGCTCATCTCAGCTGTTGTTTCTACCTCGAATAATCCTCACGTCCCTCAACAAACACAGTGGATCAACCTCTAGAACAAACCTTTGAGAAAGGCGGTAGTCGTGCAGCTGGGCATAACGAAGGGTTTTCTCCTGGTTTTGAAATAATGTTTGCACCCCAATCATCTTCTCCTGATGCTCATCCTCTGAAGCAGTTGAACTCTAATACGGTTCACACTCTGACGTCCGTTCTCTTCAGTGTGTGTGTTTCACGCTGTCCACAAGCATCCCAGGCTTGGCCGCCTCTCAGCTCAGGCGTTCTGGCAGAGCTCCCACAGCACCAAACGTTCCCGAGGAGCTGACAAAATTGTGCTGACTCATGCTGCGGACAAGCCGCAAAGAACCTCCATCTCCCACCCCATCGGCCACGGGTGCCACCTCGCCCTCTGCCCACCCAGGCCTGTGCCCAAGTGCTGGCCAGTGGCCAGTCCAGGTTCCCTCTGTAGAAGCTCAGGTTTTGTGAGGACCGACTTGCGCTAGGCAGTACACTAAGCATTGTATAGGTGGGACCTCATGTATCCTCCTAACAATCCTGAGTTGGATACTGCAGGTCTCTTCTGCAATCTCTTACTCTAAACATGTAGGGCTAAAAGTTCTCAGAATTCTGATTTTTTTTTTCTTTTTAGTTTGAAAGGTGTATGGCTCTCTCCACTTATATTCAACATCATGCTAAAGATTCTACCCAGAGAAGGCAAGAAAAAGAAATTAAAGGCATACAGATTGGATGTGAAGAAACAAAACTCTTTATTCTCACATTATGTGATACTATCTATGGCAATTATAAGAAATAAAAAAAAAACTACTAGAACTTATAATAAATTTAGCAAGATTATAGGATACAAAAAATCAATATATAAAACTAACTGAATTATATTGAATTTCTATATACTATCAATAAGCAATTCAAAATGAATTTAAAAAATACAATTCTAGCAGGGCATGTTCCTGTTGTCCCAGGTTTACATTAATCAATTGGGAAATTAAAAACCAGCACAGAAGGGTGAGGTGGCTGAGAGCAAGCCTTTGGCCAGACGCCGCCGATGCTGTTTGAGTATCAAGGACTGAGAGCAACTCAGAGGGAGATTATGCATTTACATTCCATTGACTCCTGAACTGTAATTAACGGTTTTATTTAGTCTGGGGATCTGCCAGCTCAGAGTCACCGGCAGTGCCAGCCATACATGCCCATCCCTGAGCCCACTCTCAAATGGACGAAGTTGGGACCCCTGGGAGAAGTGACTGGTTTACACAGCACCCCAGGTGACTCACGCACCCAGAGCCTGTGATCCTCCAGCTCTGCTCCTTCCCGGGGAAGCTCTAGCAACCTCGGCTCCTGAACACCACCACACCCAGGCCCGAGAGTGAAATCAACATTCCACAGCTGGTCTTTTGAGAAAAGGACAACAAAGGTACTTATTGCAAATAATTAAGATAATGAGATTCAACGCATAAACCAAAAGCAAAATGTGTAAAATTCTGCCACTCCACAAAATAGCCCTATTTTACAGAGCGTATCATTTGGTACTGTGTATTTTATCAAGGCAGGTTAATCACTACGGGTGAACATAAACAGCAAGTTCATTTTCCTTTCTCTGTTTATGTGTAAAGCCATTAATAGTTTATTTTGTTTCACATCACAAGTGGTGACTTAATTGCAGAGCAAAATAACAATCACAAACATTCATTTTTGGTCTTGCCATTACTTCCTTATGTGACATTTCCTCTAATTAGTTAGAGGGAATCACATTGAGAAGTATAGGTTTTGTTTAGAGAGAATGTAAAGAAAAAAAAAGAAACACAGTGGTAAGTTTTTGCTTTCCAAATATTGGGGAAATGGTAGAGTAGTTGTAATGACCTAAAAACCCTTCTGCTACAACATGCCTACAAATACTGAAGAAAATATACAAGCTTCTTTTTATTTATTTTTATTTTTATTTTTTTAGAATAGTCTCACTCTGTTGCCCAGGCAGGAGTACAGTGGAGCAATCATAGCTCACTGCAGCCTCGAACTCCTGGGCTCAGGCAGTCCTCCTGCCTTAGTCTCCCAAGTAGCTGGGACTACAGGCGTGCACCACCACACCTGGCTAATATTTTCATTTTTTGTAGACATGGGGTCTTGCTATGTTGCCCAGGCTGTTTTCAAACTCCTGGCCTCAAGCGATCCTCCTGCCTCAGCCTCCCAAAGAACTGTGATTACAGGTGTGAGCCCCACGCTGAGCACAAACTTCTTTTTAAATGTATTGCCGAGCACCTAACAAAGAAGGGAAATCCCCAGGGTTTGGAGCCAGGAGGGAGCCAGTGTGGGCTGAGCCTGGGTTGGGGGCTCAGTGCTGCCACCCAGGGAGGGGAGAACGGGCGCTGGGGAAGCAGGGACCTGGGTTTTAATGGCAAATGGGGTCAGCAGGTGAGGCTGTGGCCTGAGAGAAGTAAGTGGGATTGGAGCTGAGACCCACTAAATAAAACCAAAATTCTAGAAGAATATACATCCAGACGAGGAGGAGACTAGGACAGGTTGCCAAAGAAGCCAGACTGTCTGGCCCAGAGCTCCAATCAGGGAAACTAAGCAAAAAGAAACTCAACAAGTTTAGCGTGATGGCTTTCATATAGGTCATGTTTTCTGAACTAAAAACAACTTAGAAAATCAATGATATGAAGAAGTCCAAAAGCTATATTTGTAGGTTTGAAAACATACTTTATAAATAATTGATATATCAAAAGAAATCACAATGGAAATGAAAAAATATTTAGAACTGAAAAAAAAACCTCCTGGGATATAGCTAAAGCAATATTTAGAGGGAAATATATAGCCATAATTGTGTATATTAATAAAGGAAAAAACACCTAAAATTTCATTAGCTAAATATTGAATGAAAAAATTAGGGAAAGAACTACATAGTAGTAAATTAAAGAGAGTGACAAGAAGGAAAAAATAAAGTTAATAGAAATTAGCAAATTAAAAATAAGAAAAAAGGTAATCCATTAATCAAAAGATAATTATTTGTGAAGACTAATAAAATAGGCCAATTTCTGAAAGTTTGATCCAGATTAAAAAAGAGAGAAGGAGCAAAGCAATATTAGGCATGAAAACTGGTTGTAATTGAAATCTTATGTTCCCTGTTCTTTAATTCTTCTACTACTTTATTTAAAACTATGAAGTGTATCTTTTGTGCCAGGAAGACAACATCTACTTTTATCCCTCAATATTTGAACTGTTAACTGAGACAATAATTAAAATTATTGACCTGAAACTAAACAAGAGCATACAAATATTCTTCAGGCTAAGCTATTATTTTATTTGGTGTGCATTCCCAGGTTAGGCATTAACATTTTCCCAAAGCCTCGGGACCTTTCAGAGACTAAGCTCCACCTAGAACTGTAAGATACTGGCAGTAGCTGTCACTTTATTAATCTGGTTTCAATTTTTTAAATGTTTGGATTCACAGCTTATCTATGGGAACACATAATTGTTCCATCTTTAATATTCCAGAGAGGAGATTTACTGAAAAAGTTCATCTAGTATCCCCGTCTGCAAGCCAGCAAATGAAATCTTAGCCAAAGCTCAAGAGAGAAGACTCATTAGGAGGAAATCCATCCCCAGGGCTCGCCGGCCATCCCTCCGTCCATCTGTCAACAGCAAGACAAGAACAGCGGCTGCCACGGGGGCCCCGAGAGAGCAGGAGAGGAGGACACTGCCAGACCGCAACGCTTGGCACCAGAAGCCAGTTATCAGCCAGATGATGTGCTCGGCCAGCGATGTGAAACCCAATCATTAAGTTATCGGGAACTGGTCAGAGAAGAAAAGGACTCTGTCCCGCGTGTGTGAAGCAGCGATGGCATGGCCAGGAGGGCTGTGACTCGCAATGCCACAAGGTTTGTTCCCCAAACAGAACTGGGGACACCATGTGGGGACAGGGCTGACAGGCACAGTAGAAGGGAGAGGGCTCGAGAC